GGTTGAACTCATGACCTTGCACTTGCCAGGCAAGTGCTTGTGTACTGACCTAAATCCCCTGCCCCAGCATTTCATTCTTGCTGCAGTCAACTAGCTGCATTTGGTGCTATCTGCTGACATCTCCAGTTAAAAAAAAAAAGAGAGAGATAGTATCTCTGTTTGCTTAATTATTAAAACACCTTTCATTTTCATCCTTATTCTTTATCCAATCAGTCCTAAATTACTTTTTTTATGTGAGACATATTGAGACATATTTTTTGTACAGTAACTACCAACTTTGTAGGTAGAAAGCTTTCAAAACTATATAAAGTATTTATGTCTCTCTAGAAAGTTCCTGTACTCTCCTGTGGTCAAGCCCCCACCCTGCCCCTGGTAACGGGCTCATCTGATTTCTCCCTTCAAAGTTCCTAGGAATGCAATCCTGCATTACATGGTCATATTCTTCCACTTAGCAAAGGATTTGAGATTCATCCATGCTGAAGTGTCAGCAGCTCATCGTATTATTGATTGCTATTTTGTTTATAGGATATAATCTGTTTACCGTTTGCCTGTTAATGTTCCTAGTGTTTGGTGATCATGAAATGGCTCCAAGTGTTACAGTACAGATCTTTGCATGGATGCGTTTTCACTGTTCTTGAACAAAGCACCTTGGAGTACGCTTGCTGGATTGCATCCTATGGATGTGTTTAACTTTTAAGAAACTGCCAACCTTTTCTCCAAAGTGGCTGGACCATTTTGCATTCCCAGCAGCAACGAATGAGAAGTATTATTGCTCCACGTTTTTATGAGCATTTGGTCTTTATTTCAGATGGGATTACTGGCTGTCTTTGGATCAATCTATGGATTCCACATCTTCTAAACTCTTAAATCCTCCAAACTGAAGCCAGAGATTCCGTGACATCTTCCAATCAGCTGCTCTGACCTCTTCAGGACAAAGGGCAAACTGAACTTGTCACACACAAGACCCTCTGAGCTCTGAGCCCCAGCTCCTCTCAACCTTCCTACTCCAGGCTCTGAATCTCACAAGCAGCTGGACACAGTCCAGTTTCATTGGCCCCAGGTGACAGCATGGACCACATTCTCTCTCAGTCAGCGCTTCGGAGCTAACACATCAGTTTGAGCAGATTACTGATTTGTTTTTACTTTGAATTTGCAAGGTAAAAATACCCTTTGGGGTTTGTACAGCATTGCCCTTCAGAAAGTAAAAGGCTACCAGGGAATTTTTTTCAATTATATTCTATGAAAAGTCTCCCAAATTCAAGAAAATCGAAAAAGTAGTATAATGAATATCTAGATTTAAATTCAACAACTGTTACAATTTGTCACATTTGCTTCACTTATCTATAAATGTACTCCGAGTCTTCCTCTTTCTTCTCTGTTGATTTCTCTATATTTTGCTAAGCTGCTTCAAAGTGAGATGCGTCACCTCCTAAATATTAGAACAATCTTCATTACATTGAAATACCAGTATCACACTCAAATTAACCTTATGGTTCTAACATTGTCTTATGCTGTCTATACTCATATTTTGCCAATGTCTTTATAAGATGATTCACCATTTTTGTTTCCAAAGATCCACTTAAAAATCATATACTGCATTTTTGGTGAACATTTCACTTTTATTGACTCTGAGCCCAGCTACCTGCTTTTAACTTGAAGACTCAGCTTGGTCCCCAGCCTTCCAAGAAATCCCCCCTAAATCCAGATCCACCCAAGGTTCCCATTCTTTCAAAAAGCCAAGGTCAAATCCACTGAAGATTCAAAATCTTATATTGCAAATCTGTTGTTAAATGTATTTATTTCCTCAGCCAGACTCTGCTCCTCCTCGGGGTAAGGGATGGATGTTGTTTGCCTCAGTGGGTAGGTAGATATTTATCACAATTTCAAGAATGAATGATTGGCTGTACCTCCCCCGTGCCTCACTGTGAACAGCTGGTAAATGAGTGGACTCTAGAAAGCTGAGATGGAAGGGAGTGAATGGTGAGAATGACAGAAGCCATTCCAAGTGTAGTGTATTCCTGGGAGGGTGTTTGATAGAAACTATACACCTGTGTTCTTCTTCCGGCAGGCAAAAAGCTAGGTGTTTACCATCAGTTAAAGATAAACCTAGAGTCTATTGGTACAGTAGACATTTCAGCCCAGATAATTCTTGAGAAAGAATTTTAATCACAAAACTCGGAAACACTGATTCTGTTTGCACAGCTGTTCTGCTGCAGCTGTCCTAATGTGTTTTTAAGCAAATATTCATGGCCAGTGGGTCCTTAGGGACCCTAACCAGAACTTTGTGCCCACGGTCAATGGAGGACATCACAATTTATCTATTTTGAATTCTCAGAACAAAATGCTTCTCTAAATATTGACCTTCTCTGATGATAAATTTTTGACAGACTTTTCTCTTTGATAAGCTTCTTTCAGGTGTTTCCTTCTTCCTCATTCTTTGTCACCTGTGGGACTACTTTCAGAATCACACATGAACTTTACGGTGACTCCGAGCTGCACACCAAGACTATTTTAGAAGGAGTGTTTCCTCCTGAGTCACCTCATCTCCCAGTAGCAGGCATCCTGCGGATTTCCTTATCTCTGCTGCTGAGAACAGGAAGCTAAGACCAGAAGCAGCCAATATGCACAACATTCCAGTGACTCTTCCCGGTTACTGGAGACCAGCAAGAAAACCCTGATTTAGTAAGAATTTTTTGGCAAAAAAATTGGGAGCTTACTGGAGGCAAATAGCTTCCAGAATGTTATTTATGAGGTAGGTTTAAAAAATTCTCCCAGGAGTAAAGTTAAGTGAATGTTTTCATTCTACAAAGAGACTTCATTAGAGAATTTCACTAACGGGGTAACCAGAGATAAGGAAATTACTTGACTTTCTTTTCCACAGTTTCATCAGTTTTTTCCCAGCCCATTAATTCTCTTCATTCACTTCTGTTGCTCTTACTGAACAGTCTTTCAAATGAAAGTTGGTCTAGCACGTCCCCTGAAGTCTTGATAACTGTTTATAACATGGAACTGTGACTATTAACTTGAAACTGAACACTATTTGAATGTTGACCTAGTCAAGGCAGTACTAGCTATGAACTTTGCCCTCCCCTAACCCTCCATCTGTAGCAGACATCACTTGCATTCTATTTAAGCATTCTATCTGGTCTGAAGATGCCCGTCATTGAAACCAGTTAGACCTTTAAAACACCCTGAAAGGCAGCCCCTGGCAAGGAATCAGAATGTCCCTATTTGAAAGCTATTTGCAATGAAGGAAAAAGGGGCAGTGCATAGAAGTATATCAGGCAAGAAAGAAAGTGATGCAACGACCCCAAAAGTATAAGGATTTAGGCTTTGACTTCTAGCTCCTCGGTAAGTTTCTTGGGTGCATTTTTGTATACATGTGATGCGCAGTAATAATACCTTCACCTTAGTGTCACTGGAAGAATTAGTGGAAGGATTTTTACATTCAGTGCTTGTGAAAACTTCTAGCATTGAACACAGCACATGGAAGATACTCCATAGACAGTAATTTATCATGAGTATTTTTGAGGGGTCCCAGACTGAGTGTGACAGCTTACCCCGTTAACTTAGAAGCTGTGGCGTTCTACAATGTGAATACTTCATTCTTCATAAACTTTGACTAAATATATTCTTGTCATTTCTCTTGTCATAATCTTAATATCTGTCAAAAATGACCATTCCAATCTCTGGCCCTCTCAGTTCCTTTCCTCCAATTATCTTGTCCTTCAAGTGCTCTGTTGTATCTCAATTTTCCAAACAAAAGTACAGTTATAATCTTGAAATTATGCTCATAAAAATAAACTTTTATTACCTTGAATCAAAATCATATATACTGTGAACTATTAATAATTTCAAGAAGACAAGATTGTATTAAATGTAAATAATTTCATGATTCAGACTTCACGATCCAGAACTCTTTGGATACAAAGAAGATCAAATAAGCAAATTTTCTTCTGATTTCTGCATTAGTTTTACAAGTGTCTTCCTTTATAATAATAATTTTTATTAATTTTCATTTTGAGACAAGGTCTTGCTAAATTGTTCTGGCTTGGCTCAAACTTTCTGTCCTCCTGCCTCAACCGGATAATACCCATTTATTGTGACTGATAGCTATCAGGCTGGGGATGTAGCTCAGTGATAGAGTGATTGCCTAGCATGCATGAGGCCTTGGGTTCCATCCGAGAGAGAGAGAGAGAGAGAGAGAGAGAGAGAGAGAGAGAGAGAGAGAATGGCTCCCATTTATAGCTGTCTATTTGCACCTGATATGGTGCTTTGTATAAACATCTGGTTAATCTTCACATTATTATTATCTAGGATAATGCACGCTCACAGCTGAGGAAGGCAATTCTATTTCCTGCCGTGTTCACATCATCTGTAACATGCTGGGGCCCAGACTCCTTCCTAAGATTCCTTTCTCATATCATCATAATGAGGACATCTGTGGCTCTTCTGATTTAAGGCAATAATTTAGAAGGCAGAATTCCTAATCTTTTTTCAAACTCATTCCTCACAATTAGTCAAATTAGCCTCTTTTTTTTCTCTCCTTTTCCTTAAAAGTAAGAAGAAGTATGTATTTATACCTGAGAGACAGAGCTGATAGACTCATGAAAAGAAAGCTGCACTGATCTTATAACAAGCAAATCACCAAATGTGATATCTTGTTTTTCTCACCAGTCCCTCAGTCCCTTTCCTAGTCCTGTATATACTCCTTCCAGTTTGAATAATGCTTGATAGTCACCAGACAATAAAGAACACTGAGTTAAAGATATCTATACATGGGGAACAGGCATCCCGTGCCCCAGGATGGGCATCTTTGGCAGCTTTCTCTTGAACTCTCTCTGCACTGTTGGGTGAAGTTTAACAGATTCAGTTTCAGCTCTGGTTTCAACTTCCTTCTCCAAACATGCTCAGGGTTAATTCTCCCATGCTCTCATTCAGAGGAAAATGACTTATTTCAAAAGCAGTGAAAAGCACCACATTCCTTTGGCACAGGATGAAGAGCCACTCAGCTCTTCAGCCGTGATCATTGTGTCTATTGTTCTCCGAACAGTAAACCACTATTTCACACCGAGATTGTTGGCTGCAGTTGTAGTCTAAGTCCTGGCTCCTCATGAATATGAAGTGAAGGTGTCTGACCCAGAAAGTGGCAGGTAATATAAAAGAAAGCGAAAAAGACAGGTGGGAAGAAAGACAGACTTTATGTGATCTGTCCTCTTGAAATCTGCAGGTTCCAAGCAGGGCAAAATGGGGTCTTGGAAGTGTGGAGGCTGCCTCAGCTGTCTGCTGATTCCTCTTGCACTTTGGAGTATCATTGTGAATATATTATTGTACTTTCCAAATGGGCAAGCTTTCTATGCATCCAGCAATAAGCTCACCAACTACGTGTGGTATTTTGAAGGACTCTGTTTCTCAGGAGTGATGGTAAGTATGACTTTTAGATTTGGAATTGCAGAATGGGGAGCTGCAGGAAAATCATCCTAGTGATCCTGGGCTTGAGATTTAGGAGATAAGTAGAGGAGGAGGGGAGGTGGTCCTCTAGGATTCGGGGTGTAGCTTTGTTTTCAATCAGCTACTCAGCAATGTAGCTTCAGTAAAGCAGGAAGTTAGTCTTAAATCAAAGTGTGTGGGACACTGGCTTGTAAAAACATTAAGCTGAAAAATATCACAAACTGTGCGAGTCAGTTTAAACTACTTAATCCTCACCGAACTTTTCTTTTCCATAACAGATTTTTCTATCTGCACAATAATTTCTCTACCTTGAGGGGGCATTGTGACAGGGTAAAAAAATCAGTGACACGGAGAGTCGCGAACCTGCCTCAAAGCTAAACTCTGTCAAGGGTGCTGTGAGAGCTTTAGTGAGCGCCTCATTGTGCCTTAGAGTTTTGTGCTAAAAGTGTGAATAATTACACATAATTTTCAGGGTGACTATGAGGAATAAATAAAATCACATAAAGTGCCAAGCTGACATACAGTAGTAGGTAGCCAGTGCTATTGTGATTGTAACAACTCATTAGAATGAGAAACATTAGCACTAAGTAGCCCTCTTTATACCTCCAAGGTGGCTGCAGGGTGCTTTTTAAATATGAAGTCAAATTACCCATGGTAAGAACTCATGCTTTCCTGACAGCTTTGTATTTTTTAAAAATAAACTGAAAAAAAAAAAAAAAACTAGTAGTAAATCATGTTAGTAACCTAAAAAGAAAGATGCTTTTCTAGATCATTCTGTTTCTAAAAACAATATATGTGTACTGTAACTTTGCTAGGTCACGAATAATGTAGAAGAATATTCATTACAATTTATCTACATCTTTATATGTTCGATTATTACAATATCTGAATAGCTGCGCTGGAAACTAGTTTTTGTTTCATTTTGCTTTACATACTAAATTAGTAAACTTGAAGATATTAGTCTGCAGGGCTATCGAAGTTGCTGTGGAATAGGTACATGACTTACTTTGTCAGTGGCATTGCAAATAAATTCAAATCTGTGGGAGAAGGGTTGGTGCCTTGAATCAAAGTCTATGAAAGTGTTTACATCCTCAGACTCAGGGGTGCTAAATCTTATCATTAATTCTGAGGAAATACTCCAATATAATGAGTGATAGGCACAGATGTTTGTTGTAATGACTGACACATTGTATGACTTGACAAGTGTAAGATTTAACTAAGCACCTCGTCAGGGGGCCAGGGTCTCACTCTGTAAACATTCTGAGCCTGTGCAAGAGAAGGGCACCAAGGTGCTGTGAGTGCTACACTTATTCAAGGGCAGGGAGGCCTACCTGCAATATAAGGGAGGAGAGGAGCCCCTCCTTTGCTCTGGCTGCTTTTGCTGTCTTCTGCCAGCTGGAACTGTTGCCCCTCCATGCCGCCCTGCCTCGCAGCAAGCTGATTACAGACTGAAACCTCCACAAACCGAACTCAATACATTTTTTCCTTCCTTAATTTTGGATGCTAGTTATTTTGTCTAAACAATGAAAGAAAAGTAAGTAGGGTATTCGTAATAGCATTATTTGTAATAGTAAATAACTTGAAGGAGCATCCTAATAGAGGAAGGTTGAATAAATTTTGGCATACTCTCTCCATACACTGATAAAAATCTAATGATGGAAATATGACAACATAGGAATTGCATATTATTTCATATTAGGTAAAAAAGACACAACAAAATTGGATTAATTATTATTGCAACTATGTAAAACATGGATATAAGAAAACACTGAAAATAAATGGAATTATGGGTAATTTTCCTCCATTATTTTTGAGTCCCCTGTGTTGCAGTTGTTTTAAAACAAGTAAAGAAAAAAAAACCAATGCAGTGTGTCCTTTAACAGTTGATGTCTGAGCAACAGGACACTAGGGCATAGATTTAATTATTTCTGCCAGTGTTTTTATGAAGCTGATTGTCATACTTCAGCTTTGCCTCATTATGTAATTGTAATGAATGAAAAAGGTGTAAGGTGTAAATAAGATTAAGTCAGAATGTACTAAAATCTGTAGTAACTAATAGTGTTGGAAGCAGAGAAATGTAAGACTCAATGGCTTATACTCCAGATAAAATTGAAAACGGTGTTTTCTATTTTTAGGAATTATTTTAATTTTCCAGGAAATGTATTATTATAACTGCATAAAATATTTTGGGGTGAAAGGGAGAAATATAGATAAATAATTCAATGGACAGATAAAAGTTGAAGGAATTTGGAAACTGGATATATTGGCTACAAATAGTAAAATAACACTGAAATCGGATTTAGGACTTGGTCCTGAGCACTGGGTATAAGGGAGGGAAGGAGAATTTCCCACAGGTTGTGGTTCATAACTGAAATCATAATATATTATAAATAGCCAGAAATTATAATAGAAAGTCATCCATACTCCAGAACTTGGGCTCCTTGTTAAGGTTAGAGAGAGAGAAAGAGAGAGAGAGAGAGAGAGAGAGAGAGAGAGACAGAGAGACAGAGAGACAGAGAGACAGAGAGACAGAGAGTGTGTGTAGAATGCTAGGATTCTTTCAGTTTGCTGCTTCAAACATGCAAAGCACACTAGAAAATTCGAACCTGAGCTGGTCCGACTGCAGAGGGACACTGAACTTACTTTAAAGCCTCATAGTTTCAGGCTAGCCATTCTTGTGGTCTCCTTCCCTAGAAGGAAGGAAATGGACAGAGACTGGCAAACCGCTAACTCTGGTGAATAGTCTTCCTTTGTCCTCCACAGATTAGTAAAACAGTGAAAAAGCAGCCTTGCTGCCAAACAGGGCATTGTCCCCACCCAACCATCTACTCCTCCATAAACACTAGCTTTGGATTTTTGCAAACCATGATAATAATAGTAATATTTATTAATCACTTACTCTAAACCTAGCACTAAGCTCAAACGTTACATATTATGTCATGACCACGCAGTGAAGTAAGTTCTCACACTGTGTTACAGAGAAAGACTCTCAAAGTCACACAGCTAGCTAGCGGCAGAGCTAGGATTTGAACCCGGACCTGCCCGACTCCATGGGTTTGTGCGTGGTCTCTGTCCTCTGATCAGGAGTGTAGTGCTCCGTTTCTCACGTTTTCTCTCTCCCCTCCTTACAGATGCTTATCGTAGCTGCTGTTCTCCTTGTATTGGACACTGATAACCGCTATAAATGTTGCCAGAGTGAAAACTGCAGTAAAAAGTACATGGTAAGAGTGGTGGTTCGGGGTGGGGTGTCATTCCTAACATCGTAGGCTTGCTGTGCTGGCTTTGTCTGGTCTCAGCCTGTGGATTTATCAAGTAGCTATTAAATTATAGAGGTTTTTGCCTTTACCTATAAATTAACATGTCTCAAAATAGATCAATTTTTCTCTCAAATCAAACCACCCTTTTTAATATCTCTGTTTCTGCATCTTTTTCACCCAAGCCCCAACTTAGCGCTCTTCTCTCAGCCCATCTCCAGTCACTCTTTTCCTCCTGTGCCTGTGTTGTCCTCCTGTGTCTGTCCTTGCTCCAGGCATGAAGCTGGCTCCGCATGGAATTCTTATCTTTGGGCTCTCTCGCTTCCAGCCCGTGTGCTGCCACCACCACCAAGCCATCTTCCAAAGTACATTCGGTCATGTCATTTCCTTGCTCAAAAACCAGCTTCATGACTTCTTAGAAAAATAGGGCAGGGTAAGTTCAAAATGAGCCCGGAATGCTGGAAAGGAAAGGGCTGTTCTAAATAGGAACAGTTTTGTCATGTCAAAGGACTTGACGTAAATAAACGGGTTTTCCCTTGGCCAACTCTGGACACATACCAGAATAATGCAGGTTGGGATTGTAGCACATTCTATTATAAAACTTATGAGTCCAAAATAATGTTGAAAGAGAAAAGCAAAGGAGATAAAAAGGGGAAATGAAAATTCTGTGCAGAAAAGTGATAACATAAAACACAAGACATGAACATTATAAAGCTGCACATTGCAAGCCTTAGTGTGACCACTGGTGATCTTTGCCAGGGAGGCTCATTAGGGGATGCAGGATCCATCAGGTGAAGTGTTGCTAGGAAATGATGATGACACTTCCTCAAAGTACTACCTCATTTACTAGTAACTCACTTACTGGTAAGTAACAACCAGTTACTTACTAAGTGCAAAACAGAAAATGCTCCTGTACAGGGCAGAGATCTGAAAGATGCCCTTAGCCAAGAGAACAAACCTAGCACCACCAATAGCACACGAGAAACACACAGTATAAAGCATATCACTCAAGTGATCCGGGTTAAACATTTGCATCCACGTGTGGTAAACAATTAGAAAAGCCCAGAATGTGGGTAGTCATAAGACAATTGGTGGGCTTCCTTTAAACAATTGATTATGAAAAACAAATAGTCAAACTGGTGTAGATTAAAGGAAACCAGGATGGTATAGCCTTGACTGGACCTTGTAGGAAAAGTTCTCAAGAGTCACAAGTAATAAACTTGCTATCCTTAGAAAAGATGCATGCTAATAAATTTAAGATTATAATGCTTATAAATTCACTTTCAAATGGTTCAGCACAAAAATGTACCAATAAATGTGTGCGTGTATATGTACACATACAGAGACCACAAAAAGCGTAAAATATTCAGGGAAAGGGAGTCTGGATAAAAGGTATACAGGGGTTTGTGGTATGATACTTCGCTCTGCTTTATAGATTTAAAAATTTTAAGTAAAATATTGTTGGGAAGATGTCCTTAGCCAAGAAGGGAGCCTGGATCCTCCATCTAACACCCAGGCATCTGTCAAGCTGCGTTCACTCTGTGTGCTGAAGGCTGGTGCTGCCGGCCGGGCTTCCCCAGTGCGAGCCCATGGCAATGGGCCTCCAGAACTCCCTCCCTGGCCCTGCCCATGGCCTCACAACTCTGCCTGTGCCCAGCTGCCTGTGAATATTACTCATGCTTCCTGCTCTGAGGAAAACACCCTCTTCCCCCTCAATTCCACCCTTAATATCTAGGGTGACACAGGACATTCCCTTTTATCTCTATGTGAAAATGTTAACATATCTTCACAGCCTAAAAGCAAAGGTTATAGCTTTTCTTTCGTACAGAACCATTCATATCTAGAGAAGAACAGGTCTTATAAACAGCTAGGTTTGATCGATCACATCCCTTCACCACATTTCTGTAAGAGGTGATCCTCATTTTGATGTCAAAACTCCAGAAAAAAGGAAAAATGCAATAAATTATCCAGTTTTCCCTATACAACAGCAAACAAATAGTCATTTTCAGATGCATTGTAAAGACCACTATATTTGGGGTCATTTGGGGGGGGGCATTTGGCATTACCTAAGTGATCATGGGTGTGCCTGGGAGATACACATTTGAAAATGTAAGCACACTACCCCTTTGGCCAGCCTATGGCAATAACCTTCTGTGTTTCATTTAGACACTGCTGTCAGTTATCTTTTCTGCCCTTGGAATCACTTTCTCTGGATACTGCCTGGTCATATCTGCTTTGGGTCTTGTGCAGGGCCCATACTGCCGCACCCAGGATGGCTGGCACTATGCGTTTGAAAGCACTGCAGGACGGTAAGGAGTAAACCCCACACCAAGGAGCGTGGAATCCAGAAACCCCTGGGTTCATGCCTAAGCCCATTTGCCACAAGAACTGTGGGATTCTAACTGGTAAACTTTTCAGATCAGTTTGTTATCACACAGATCTTTAAATAGACGCTTACTTTGTCCAATGTTTTAATGCAATATGCAGTTAGTATTTTGAAGCTCTCATGGACATATCCAAAGGAAAGGTATATTTTCCCATGTTTTAAAGTAGGATGGATCAGAATTCAATGCATGAATCTTAGGACCTCACGGTTACTGTGGTCTGGTAACCGCTGGCATTTGGTTCAGTCTCGTTTTGTGGGCAGGTTGAGCAAGTGATTTCTGACAGGTGTGGGGCTGAGATGGAGTTATGGCCCCCATTAATAGCCACTCTGGGCTACAGCAACAGGGCAACACAGAGGTAAAACTGGATGAGGGGGCCATGGGCTCTGAGATCCAGGACATGACTAGACATGAGGTTGTAGAAGGAGCCAGGAGCCCACTGAGCTTGCCCAAAATGCGGGCACACTTAGCAAGCCAATCCTGGATCTCAGAATGCCTCACTCTGGCTCTGTGCTGGCTTTACTGGGTGAGCAAGTACCTGCTGAGGTAGCTCGGGCCAGAAAGAGATATGAGAGAGAGTTTCTTTGTCTTTATCCTGTGCTCAGAATTCTAATGGAATGATATGAGAGAGTGTCTACACAATTCCCAAGGAAGTTACATTTTCTTCTTAGCTCCCAGCAATCAGCTATTTGTGTTCAGGGGCCTTGTCTATCTGGGATGTCACATGCACCCCTGCGCCTCCATGGCAGAGGTGCATCTGTGCCCAGAGCGCCTTCATTGTGAACATTTGATACAGGGCCACATGCTCTGACTTCTTTTAGTAAGCAGGAGTTTCCCTTAGGTAAGGGGGATCCCAACAGTAACCTCAGGGATTCCTGAATAATTGGAGGAGATTCCTATGAGATTGAAGGGGCTCAGGAAAGAGGATCTTAATGTAAAAATTCCTTCTGGGGTGGAGGGAAGACTCTCACCCCTTCTTTTATGCTACCAGCCACTGAAATTTTCCCTGCCACTATAATAAGTGCCTCCCTTTTCAATGCATGAATCTTAGGCTGCCCACCTACCTCTTCACCACTCCTGTCTTTGATGCTTTTGTTCATTTGCCTCTTTCTGTAATAGAAATATTTGGAGGTCATATGGGTAAGCCAGTAGCTGTTGTTGTAGTTTCCAAAACTTGAAAGGTGCAGGGTGGAATGACAAACAATACTGAAATTGAACATATCAGCTATTCACTTGTGGGATTATTTAGCAATAGTTACTGAGTACCTACTATGTTCAAGATTTGGGCCAAGTGCTACACAGAATCAGACATAAAGTATTGAGACACCCCCTCCCTCCATGTAGATACCATTAGAATATTAGCAATGGATGCCTTAGGGTGAATGTTGCCCTTGGAGCATAGATCTTTGATGCTTATAGTTCTTAAGTATTTCCTCTCCTACTAATAAACTATATGACCTTTGACATATATCTGTATATCTCTGAATCTCTGTAAATTGGAGTCATAATCATTTTGAACTCACAGAATTGAGAATTAAATGGAAGTGATGCATGAAGGAGCTGTAATAAATTTTTGTGACCTGCCAAATTTTATTATTATTGTCATTACCATGACTACTTCTTTATGTCACCTGATATTCTCAGTCTGCCAGCTGCCCAGCCTGTGTGATGCTGCCATGACTCATAAGGACAGGTGAGGATCCTGAATCCACTGTAGTTCTTAAAACACTTTTAATTGGTAGATGTTTATAGTACACAGTGATTGCTTTCATAGTGGGAAGTTGGTCCATGTACATGACACATCTTAATTATTTTTGATCCTCTTCCCATCTCCTACTTTCTCTCCCCCTTCCCTCTCTCTCTTGATCCCTTTTCCTTTTGCTAAAGTTCAATCTCTTTATTTTCTATTATCAGTTGTTCTTTTTGCTCTTTTATGTATTTATACTTTGGATTTCTCATATAAGAGAAAATGTGATATTTAAGCTTGTGTGTCTGATTTATTTCACTTAAATTACGGTGTCATGATTCATCCATTTTCCTACAAATAACTCATATTTATTCTTCTTTCTGGCAGAATAAAACTCCATTGTGTATAAATACCACATTTTCTTTATCCATTTATCTGTGGATAAGCATATAAGCTGCTTCCAAGATTTAACTATTGTGAATTACGCTGCTATAAACACAGGTATACGTGTGTCACTGTAATAAGATGCCTTAACAGTTTTGGGGAGATGTCTAGAAGGGGAATAGGTGGGTCAAATAAAATCTCTATTTTTATCTTTTTGAAGAATCTTCATACTTATTTTTATAAATTCTGCTTGTTGTACTTGCATTATAATTTGATTCTAGGAACTAATTTCTTCCTTGATTTTTTTTTGTGATCCATTGATTAATCAAGAGCATATTGTTCAATTTTCGTCTATTTGCATAATTGCTGTGGTTTCTTTTGCCTCTGATTTCTAATTTCACTGCACTACGGTCTTTTACTATGCATGGGATAATTTTAATTCTTTCATATTTACTTAAGCCTGCTTTATGGGATAGTATGTGGTCTATTTTGAAAAAGGTTCCATGAGCTGCTGACGGGAATGTGCATTTTGTTGTTGGGGGAAATACTCTGTAAATATCTATTGCATTCATTTCTTTGAAGATATAGTTCAACACTGATTTTTCATTGTTTTTTCTTTACTAGTTGATCTATTTGTGATATAATGGTATTAAATTCCCTAACTATAATTATGTTGATGTTTATCTAGTCTTTTATGTCCAGTACTGTTTGTTTTATAAAGTTAAGTGCACCGATGTTTGGTGCATATATATTTATAATTGTTATTGAATTGTTGCCTTAAACAATATGTCATGATCCTTTTGCCTCATCTGATCAGTTTTGGCTTGAAGACCACGTTGTCTGCAAATAAGATAACTACTTTTACTTGTTTTCAGGCTCCTGTTGCATGGAACATTGTCTTTATCTTTTGATTTCCAATCTCTATTGTCTTTTTGGATTAGGTGTGTTTTTGTATACAGCATGCAATTGAGTTTTGTTTTTTGATTCAACCTGCCAATCTGTGTCTTTTGAGACCATTTATGTTGAGACCATTTATGTTGAGAGTTATTACTGAAACATATTGACTTATTTCTACATTGCATTATTTCCTTGTTGCTGATTTCATTTCTTTTCCCCTTTTCCTTAACTATTCATATTGCTTGATGTATTTATTCCCTTAGACATTTTGCCATTTGTTGGCTTCCTTGTATCTTTCAGCAGATCCCTGAGAACTCTTTAGAGCACAAGTTTGGTGACCATGAATTGCTTTTATCATGGGAAAGTGACAGGTGCTCTTTGTCATTTCTCCATCAATTCTGAAACATAGTTTTGTAGGACATATCATTCTGGATTGAAAGTTGTTTTCTTTTAGAATATGAAACTCTTTAATTCTTGTTCTCTGTGGCTGTAAGATGACAAGTCTATTGTAATTCTAATGAGTTTACTTTTATAAGAGATAGTTGCTTTTTTCTAACAGGTTTTAAGATTCTGTGTCTGTGCTGAACTTCTGGGATTTTGTCTATGGTGATGTGCTGTGGAGAAGTTTTTTTTCTGATTGTGGCTCTTTGGGGTCCAGTACACCTCATTAGCTATATATTACATTCTTTCCTTACATTTGGAAAGTTTTCTGCTTTTATTTCTATAAATGGGTTTTTATGCCATTTGTGCTGTCTTCTGATTTTTTTCAATAATTCCAGTTAATCTTTGATTAGTCTTGTTTGCATCATCCATCAGGTGTTGGATCCATTTTCATTGCTTTCTTGTTGTTTTTAAGGTATTTATGAACATATGGTCAAATACATCAGTCTTAGCTTCTGGTTTTTATATTATGTCCTTGTATTGGTTGCTCTGCTGCTCATACATTGAACAGAACTTTTTATCTCCTGGATTGTGTGTGTGTGTGTGTGTGTGTGTGTGTACTGGGAACTGAACTTGGGACCTTGCACTTGCCAGGAGGTACTGTACCCCTGAGTATATTCCCGGGCCTCTCCTGGATTTTTGTTTGGTACCTTTTTATGAACTCTAATCCTTTGCCAAAATGGGCATTCATTTGTATCGTGTTTTACAGGATCCAATCAATCTTTACATATTTCTTACCAAATATTCACAATAATTGGATATATAAACCCCATAATCCAGATAAAACTCTGGATGTCAGAGGGTAAAGTTTTGCTCCAAGATCCTGTACTCCCAGGAGTGCTGACTCCATATTCAGTGTTCATTACTGCTAAAAATAAGAACCACTAGCATTGTCAAGAGATTTTCTGAGTGCCTCTGAGATTCCACCAGCATTAGAGGGCCAGAAATAAAGACAGGGAGGAAAAGGAGAGTTAAAAGTAAGGAAATAGGAGAGAAATAAAGGAAGGAAGAAGAAAAGCAAAGAGGTCCATTCATGGTGCAGAGTGCTCACCAAGGTAGAAATCATTCTTCCCGTCCCTGGTACCAGCACCCACAGCAACCTCAGGGTTCAGGGTTCACACTGAACAGCCCTCAGGGTTCACACTGCTGTTCTGAGAAAAACTACCTTACTGGTGACTCATGGTAGTTGTAAATATCTATTTGTAGTTGTGCCCCACAGCTGTGAGGATTGTTTTTGTTTAAGGGTCCTTCAGGGAGCCCCATTCACCAGTCTGGTTCTCATGATCCAAGCAGACCTGGAGTGAGCAAGTCTATCAGGCTGACTTAATGTGGTTTTGTCTTAAACAGGAAGAGAAAAGGTGATGGTGGAAGAGATGAGAGATAGGAGATGAAAAAGGATCTGAGATGTGTTATGTATATATATGTGTACCAACTCCACAGAAGGAATGTAAACACTATGTACTACAAACATGTACTAAGAAAAAAAAATTTAAAGTGTAGGAATAAAAACATTCTTGGAAGTGTTTGAATTCTCACATTCTTGTGTTAAATGAGGCTGCTTGAAACCTTCCATCTGCTGTGTTTCCTCCTGCTGTCAGATTTTCTTAATAGCTGGCACAGCAGCTGTTCCAGATCAGAGATTCTCACTGTGTGGCTTGGAGTGGCAGCAGACCAGAGGCATCACCTGGGGACCCAGAAATGGAAAGGACTGTCTCACACAGACCCCCTGAATCACGCGCTCTGGGATGGGCCCAGAACTCTGCTTCTGATCAAGCCTTTTAGATACTGGTGGTGCAGACTCAAGTTTGATAGACATTGTTTTAAGGGCTTGGGCCAGAATCAAGGAATTGCTAACAGAATTTCTCTTTGCTATTTTGTACTATGTGTGATTTATGTCCAGTACAAGGCTAATCTCATCTTTGACCCATTTTTCACCCCTTGACAAAGGCTGTTTGCCTCCATTGGTGTTAACATGTCTGCATTTCACTGGTGTACAACTGTTCTGTGGGTGTTTTGCTACCTAATTAAACTGATATTGCTTCCAAGGTGGGCACCAGCTTATAACAAACTAAGTCTCTAGTTCAGTGCTATGCATGCAGTGTGTTTAGTCTTTACGTGCATGAATGAAAGGTTTCCCAGTGTATAATCCATACCATTCTTCAATAAAGTAATGCATTAAATTTTAGTAGTATCTATTAATTTCCCCAACACATAAATCCCTGTATCTTCCTCCTTGGACCAAGTGTGTAGGTTTAAGGGTGGGTCTTGCTGACCTTTTTTCTCCTCCCTTTCTCAGTTTCCTTACAAACACTAGCATATGGAACTGGTGTCTGGAACCTGCACACGTCGTTGAATGGAATGTCATTTTGTTTTCCATTCTCATAACACTCAGCGGGCTTCAAGTGATTGTCTGCCTCATCAGAGTAGTCATTCAGTTATCAAAGATACTGTGTGGAACCTACTCAGTCATCATCCAGGTAAGAGACACCCATAGCTCTCTGTACTCCCCCATGTTAGTCCTACTTTGCAAAATTCAATGAATATTATTCAAAGGTTTCTAGAAGTCCACCATCCCCTCCCTTTCTCCGGCTTCATTTTGCTCAAGCGCTAAAATCTCCATTTTTCTTATATTCCAATGTGTCCATCCACTTCTCTGTATGAATTGAATCAACTCAATAATCGCAAACTTTACATTCTGTGTTGCATGGCGAGGGCAAGACAGTTTTGAACGAGCACCGTTTCACTGTCCTGTGTAAAGATACCCCAAAGCATGAATAAATTTTACCAATTATGAAGAGTTTGCTTGTTCATAAGTTATTGAAAGGCTTAGAACTTTATCCTAATGAAACAACTTCTCCAAACTACTAAATCATTTTTATATTGTGTTCATTAACATGCAATTTGAAGAGGGGAAAGGTGTCTTTATACTATTGAGACTATTCCAATTTTATCTGCTAAACTACTAATATTAGTTTAGTTGTGGTTTGAACTACTAATAAGTACAGAATAAAGAAAAATTATAAATAAGATATTGTGTCTTTGGTTTAGCAATATAATCTGTATAATGTCTTTTCTAGAAGTTTCAAATAGATATTCTCTTATTCTGTCATGTTTTAAATATAAAATATAACTGTAATTGCTACTTAGATTACAGCTCATTAATCAAGCCAAACTTACGACTTATTATGTTTTTTCTTTTTTGTGTAGCCTGGAATCATCTGAATAAGGATAAGCATGTTTCCGTTATCAAGATACGAGCATCTGTCTAAGTCTTATATCCACTGTGTATACTTGAGGACAATTTTCAAATGACAGTGTTTTTTACATTTAGTATACATTGTGTCAATTTTTGAAATGTACGATTCTCACTGGAAGTTCCAACTGTGCCTCCTTTTTATTTAGAATTTTTTTCAAAGTTATACGTGCCAAAAACTTCAGAAACACTCACACTCTTTGATCAAACAAAGCCATCTGGAGAATCTGTAATACAGAAACAAGAACGGGAGATAAAGCTTCATGTAAATCTGTGTAATGGCAACATTGATTCATATACTGGAACGTTATAAATAGCCAAAGCCTAACTTGAGGGGAAGGAGTAGAGTGGTACATTATGAAATTATATGGTCATTACAGATGATATTTTAGAAATGAACAATGTTACATAGAAAGGCAAGTTACAAAGCTGGGTATGGAGTGCAGCACTTGGGAGACTGAGGCAGGAAGAGCAGTAGGAATTAAGACCAGCCTGGGCTATACAGGAAGTTCAAGGCCAGTCTGAGCTACATAGTTCCTGTTTTCAAAAACAGAAGAAACAAAAAACAACCAAATAAATGTGGATTATGAATTTATATTTTTAAGTATAAGCATATATAGTTAAACTGTTTGTTTGCTATATTATATAATTAAATTTTGAGATAGAAACTAAATAAATCTAGAAGGAAATTCACCAAAATACCAGCTATGAGTGATCTGGGTCATCAACAACTATTCTTCCTACTCTTCTATCTCTGAGGTTATTGAATATGTTTTACTATAAATATTTTTTTAAATTTTTATTATTGAGTTTTTAACCTTTCTGCAGGTATCCCAACATTAAATATCTGTAAACATCCTGCCAGAGCACTTTCAGTGGCAAAACTCCAAAAAGAATTTTATATAAGTTGATGTCTCCTAATTAACTCTTGGTCTTATTTTCTTGTTCCTCATGGTGACAAGATGTAGCCTTGTATTCGTAAGCAGCTGGGTACTACAGAAAATGACCATTTACCAGTTGAAATCTGTGTCATGGGAGTTACTGTTACATTGATAAATAGAAAAAGTTTGAGTAGAACATTTATATATAAACTTTGCTCCTGTATGTACCATGCTCCCTTGAGGACAGCAACCATGCCTCATACATCCCCAATGGCCGTGGGCCACTTCTCCATCGGCATCGTCTGTGGACACTGTCAGCACTGGCTGTGTGCTAAAACCAGACAACGGTAAGCAGGACCGGGGGTGCCTATCTCCTTGGTAACTGTGGGTCGAACATCTCCTGTAAGGGAAGCCCTTGTCCGCAGCCTTTGCTGAAGCAATCATTCTGAAGGCCAGCTGTGTCATGCAACACGTGACCCTCCTACCCTGGATCCAGCTGGCCAGAGCAGGGGTATCTCCTCAGCCTGGGAAGCATGTTGTCATTCTAGCCGTCTGACCCAGCCTGGAGTAAACATTGCCCAAATAAGGTTGGTGGCTATTCACACTTGAGAATTTGAACCAGAAAGCTCAGAACAAAACATTGCTATGAGGACAATGATTAAAAGTTGAGAAAGGAAGCCTTCACACAGAGTGTGCCTGCTTCAGGTTAACAATGGTGTCCATCGGGAAGGGAGGCATATGGACTGCTGTTCCTGAGGTCCCTTCCTCCATCTGCCTTTCTCACAATGAGCAGGGAAAGTGACTATGAAGACCAACTTGTGTTCTTGGATTCTTGGATGAGCTCCCTACTTCCTTACTGTGTGGGTCACTTCAGTAGAACTCAAGCTAAATCAGCGCATCTCTATTCACTGCAACAAAATGACCCAACCAAAGTCCTCCCTTTATGGATTCTGCGTTAGAGGCTTCTAGGGGTGAGGTGATTAGGCCCCAGAGTTGCATGGCACTTCATTCAATTTCCTTTAAAAACTAATTCATAATGCTTAATTACTCAAAGCACTCAAACACGAGTTTGGTAGAGCTTGATCCGAGACAGCATGAGGTATGAATACCACGCTGGCCTCTGAGCGGGCCACTCTTCTGATGGCACTCCACCGAGCCCCAGAGCACGTCATACCCAGGCCCTTTTGAAATTCTCCCAAAGACGCCTCAGCCCTCTTGTAAACAGATTTCTGGCAAGACAGTCCCTCCAGTTTTTCAGACAAATCACACTTGCTCAATCTCATTTAGATTTAGTGTGTCCACAGGCTCTGAATAAATGTTGACTAAATGACTCCACCACTGAACTGGGGACACCGTCTAGTGTTGGCATACGATCACAAGCAGTGTAACATTTCTACCAGTAAAATTAAACTTTAACATAGCCATCAAAGCATTTGAAGAATATATGCTGTCGCTGGAATTGTAAGTTAAATGACCGAATACAAATAGATGTGTGCTATTTGAGGCCTAATTTAAAAATAATCATATAGTTACATGCAGACATGTACAAACCTTCAGATATATAGAGCAATGACCAGAAAATATTTCAATGTTAGCAATTAATGACAGTCACCTGATAAGAGGGTTATATTACCTTTCACTGTTCAAGTTTCAAAATTTCCTTTGAAAGTGTGCTACTAGATTTATTAGAAAAAAAGAAGTGTGTTTTTTTAAAAGAACAAGTATCTTCTAATTCTTTCTGTCAAATCTATTTAATAAGTTTAAAGCAGGAGAGAGAGGAATGTGTGTCCTACACCCTTTTCTTACACCTTAAGGGATTCTACTTTCCACTAAGACTGAGCACCCTGCCAGCTAATCCTAGTTGAGAATAATTTCTATTTTATGTATTTCTTCTGTTACATATATTATTTATCTCCAGTTTTCCTTGAGTCTATCTCACTATTTTTTCCTAACTTCTTAAATTGAATGCCTACCTTATTAATTTTCAATCTTCTTTTCTAAAAAAACACTAAAACTATATATTTTCATTTATGTACCACTTTGAATACATCACACACGTTTTGAAATATTTTATTTTCCTTAGTGTTACTTGCAAATACTTTTTTACTTTTTTTGTACAATTCATTTTTTGATACATGAGTTTTTAAATGTGCTTTAAGATTCTCAGATATATAAGATTTTTGTTTTTAATTGATTTTTAATTTAATTGTATTGTATTCACAGAATGTGATCTGATTCTGATGCTTTGAAAAAAATTAAGATCTGTTTTATGAATGATTTTTAGAACTTAGTACTTAGAAAGTGAGTGTTTTCCCCAGATATTGGGTACATGATCCACATGTGTCCATGAAGTCAAGTTGTTAATTTTGTTGTTCGGTTATTCAATATTCTTCCTCTTCAGCTGTCTGGTTGATCTGGGGCTGCTCTGAGGGCTGAGTACGTCTACACAGTACCAATCTGTGTACCTTTATTGATATATTTATCTCAGAGACAGTGTTTGGTACCTGGATGGTTTATAAGTGTTCTATAACATAGTAATAAAAAGGGGTGTATGTATTCTGGAGTTAGATTACTTAGGTTCAGGTCTGGGGGATCTGGGTCAGCCACTTGACCTGTCTGCACCAGTTTCCTGTTAAACAGGAATAATAGTAGTAGACTTGTAAAGATGAAATGCATTAGCACATGTAAAGCTCTTAGAGCTGGGGAAGCCTTGAATCAGAATCCAGGGCAGTTGGAGATTCAGAGTAGCTGAGACTTGGAAAAGCAACAAAAGGCTAAGGGACTGGAGAAGGTCAGAGGGTAGGCATTGGGGAGAAAAGGAGATGGTAAGAGGAGGCATTCCTTGTGCCAGTGCACAAGAAACTAGCATTTCCTTGCTTTCTCAGTCACAGGCTTGGAGTCACAGCCTTTTCTCTCAGATTCCTGATACCGCATCCTGAGGCCATACACTTTCATCCCACTGGGAAGCATCAAGGAATAGGGGTGATCTGAGGTCACTACTAAGAAAACCATACTACTTGTATTCCAAAAGACTCCTGCTGGGCTCTGCTTCTTGCTTTGTGAGATGAAGCCTCAGAGTCTGCATCTGGCAGGAAATTACCACAAATCTGAATGAGGAATTAGGCAGGCAGGGCAGGATACACAAACCTGGTAACTAAAAGTTTTTATTTTAGTAAGAGCACTGGATTCTGTGTCTGGCTTCACAGGTCAGAAATAACACCGTTTCTGACCCAAGGAACTTAACTCATTTGAATAAAATATTTTTTCAGGATTGAAAGAACACGCATACACACACACACCTCTCTGATTTCAGTCCTGCCTAAAATCGTGCTAAATTTTTTGTGTGTGTCTTTTTGAGACAGGGTCTTGCTATGCAGTTCAAGCTGGCCTTGAGCTCACTTTGTAGCCCAGGCTGGTTTTGAACTCGCAGTGATCCTCCTGCCTCAGCCTCCCAAGTGCTGGGATTATAGGAGTGCACCACCATGCCCAGTTAATTGTGCTAAATTTATAATAGGCTTTTTATGAAACATAAAACCATAAAAATAGAACAATTAGGAGAGGATGCAGCAGCAAGAATATTTTGGGAGCTACAAAGCAAACTTTTGAAAGGTAAATGGCAGAATCAAAAGAAACATGAAAGTCTAGAGCTGTCAGTCAGGTAGACTGAGGGTCAACCTGATTCACACCTCAGAACCCTCAAGAGACTCCTGAATTACAGTACAGGTACCATTTGACCCAGAAGTCAAAGACCACTAGAACAAAACAGCATTCACAAGTCCTGTTGTCCTTCTCTCCATGGGACTGCGTAGCGATGTCTGCTCTTGAAAGTAGAATTTCTGAGTTGGAGAGAACCAGATTCATTAAAGCTATGTATGCTTACGCAAATCAGAGAGATCATGTGACTTGTCCTCTGCACACTGGTGCCCAGACAGCCTCCCCCAGCCCCCTAAAGGCCCTCGGGTCTCAGAATGTTGGCGGCCAGCCAGAACGTCACCAGTTTAGCTGGAGACTTTCTTATTTTTTTTTTTTTTTTTTGTCTTTTTCATTTTTATCGGTACCAGGGATCGAACTCACGACTGCCTGCTTGCAAGGCAGGCGCTTATGCTGCTGCTAGGGAGCCTGACCAGTGGGGAGCAAACATATACACTGACTATGGCGAGCTGGTTGTCCTCTCACACAGCTCCATGCCATGTCCTATCTCTGCAATTGTGAATATGTCACCTCAAAGAGAATTTGATAGGTGTGACTAAGAATTGTTGAAAGGGATTATCTCTGGTTATCCAGGAGGGCCTGGTGAATCACAAGCATCCTTGTAGGAGAGAAGCAAGAGTATGATATTCAAGGACAGATGTAAGGATAAGAGCAGGACCCAGAGAGGAGAGAAACTGCTATCCTCCTGGCTTTGAGCAGGGAAAAGGGGCATAAACCAAGAAAGGCAGACGGGCTCCAGAAGCTGGGAAAGCAAGGACACCAGGTCTCACGCAGCCTCCCGAAGAACCCGGGTCAGCCAGCACCGTGATTCCAGTCCAGTGAAAACAACTCTGGACCTCCATCCTTAAATTTGTGTTGTTTTCTGTCACTAAATTTATGGTCATTTGTCATAGCAGCAATAAGAAATTAAATACTGACACTTTGAAATAATTTTAAAAACTTGAAGGTTCATTTGGAGATAGAGCAAAAAGAATAAGAGATTTTTTAAAACGTAGCAAAAGTATAGGAAAATTTTAAAACCAAAGTAACCAAATACCAAATGTTAGGGAGAGAAAGAGAAAGAGAGAGAGACAGACAGACAGAGACAGAGACAGAGACAGAGACAGA